GGCAAGAGTTTTTGAGAAATGACTTTGAATGAATGATTTTCAATTTTTACACATCATATCACATTGCTGCATGATGTATGATAAAATTATTCCTGTATGATGAACTTCCTTATAACAACAGCTTTAATTTTTTCTCCGATCCATCATTTAAAAATTCAGAGATACAAAAACATTGATTTCCGGATGAGTACTTTTTTTTTAAAACAAACTCAAAAGAAACTTTTTAAAAATTTTGTTTTGTAACATTATTTATTACTAGTTCAAAATTATTTGCTAAGTAGTAACAAGATGTTAATGGCATTTCAGTTGAACAACGAGAACAAGAGATTTAAACTTAAACATTTGTTTTTCATTCAAAATTTTATTTTTTTTAAAATGTGGCAAGAGTTCTTGAGGAATGGTATTCAATTTTTTCCTTATCTTATCACAATGATATCAATATGATGAATCTCCTCATAGCAACAGCTTTCAATTTTTCTCCAACATAATCATTCAAAATTGCTAAGATACGAAAACCTTGATTTCTGGTTAGCATTGTTTTAAAAAGTAACTTAAAAGAAACTTTTTGAAAATTTTCTTCTGTAATGTCATTTTATCCTACTTCAAAATTATTTGATAACTGGAAACTAGATATTAATGGTATTTCAAGTTGAACAAAAAGTACTACTTTAGCACTTTCTTTTCCAATTTGTTTTTCATTAATTTCTCCTTTTTTTTTTCTTTTTTTTTTTTTGCTAACGTCTTATTAGAGCTACATCGTTGAGTTACAAGCAATAGTTTATTTATAAAGAGAGAATATAAGTTATTAAGACAACGTCACAGATTCAGAATTTCACAAGCTTTTCTATACACCTGATCATTATATCTTAATCAGACTGCAAATTTCAGGTTACCTGATAAAATAATCATCTTTTTAATTATCAAATTCAAAGATTTTTATTTTCTTCATCAAACATAATAATTTTCTTTAAAAAAAAGTTAATACAAGAAAATCATAATTATTTTAAAAAATATTTTAACTAAAAATTAATTTCCATTTAAGTAACATTGTTTAAATACATAAACATAAATATGGAGAAATTTTATCACATACAATATAGATACATTTTCTCACTTAATAGAAAAAATTTAATGCAATAAACAAGTAAAAGAATCACATAATTTTCACAGGTCTTATAAAAATGCAATGTGATTTTACAAATACACATTATTATCACAAAATACAATTCAAATGGACGGTGTATAATATGATAATAATTTTTATAGTATATAAATTTTATTTCAAAATAACAAATTACCTAAAATTAACAAATTTTCAACTGAAAGACACAGATAAAATAATTTTATAACCTCATAAAGTATTAATACTAAACATGAAATACAACAGAAAAGAAAATATACAACATCAAAACAAATTACGAAATAAAATAAAATTATGCAAAAAAAAGCTAATTACATTATTGCAAAATACATATTGAGAATTCATATCTTATAAATTACATTGTTTTGTTTAAAAAAAAACAGTAATATGAATTTCACTGAGAAATAAAAAATGTCAGAAAAAATATGTACAGTGTGCTAAAAAAAGGGACCACCCTGAATAACATTTGTTTGATTGGATCTTCACATTCTAGGACTTAATGGTTTGAGGGGGTGAGTTTAAATATGCTAATTATTTAGTACAGACGATATTTTAAGTCACGAAATCAGACACAAAAACATACTTTCTCTTCATAAACATACCTTTTTTCCCGATGGATTCGGATTTAGGACCCCTAAAATATAGGGGGTCCTAAAATCCCTACCTGGAAATATGGTCCCAATAGTTTGGTTAGGAGAGCATTCCAAAGTTTGAATCCCTTAACGTTAATTTTATTTTTTGCTTTATTGCAAAAATACCAAAAAATGCAAATTTAAAAAAAAAATATTTAACAAAATATAAAATTTAAATAATAATTGTACAATAAAATTCCAATAATCTAAAAACCTCAAGATCGATAGTATGTCAAAAAATCATAACCATCGAAATGAAAATTTTGTGAAATTTTTAATAGTATGAGTGAAATTTTAAATTTTCTAAGAGTGCAAACATTAGATAATAGAGACATTGGAAGAGTAAAAAATATCACAAAATTATTCCTGCACATTTTAACTAAGTAACTTTATTTATCTTTGTAAACCTGTTTCACTAAATAAAAAAGACTTGCAAGTAAAATCATTTCAAATGAACAGCAGCAAAAAAAAGTATAACAGCAAAATAAAAACAAGTCTAAAACAAATAAACAAAAGTAAATGCAAGATCTTAATGTGTCTTAATGTGTTTAATAAAAAAATGTGTCTTTTTTCAAAAATGAATCATAACAAAGAAAAAGAGAATCATAACAAAAGAAAAAGAGAATAACAATGAAAAGAATAGAGAATAAGAATAAAATGTACAGCAAAGAGGTAAGTATAGTAAAATATATAGAACTGCATGTGCAATAGATACTACAATCAACAGGGGTAGAAATTAATAAAATTTTGCCACTGAGTGGAAGGACTATTAATTGACAGGTATTATTAGTCCATGCACATTTTACTGGTCTGTTTACATATTGCTATTAGATTTAAAATAATAATGAAGCAAATACAAATAAAATAAGATAATACAGAGAAAGCCTAATGTCACAATTACGGTGAAATATGTTATTTTATGACAAAAACATGAAACCACAAAAACAGAAACCCAGTCTTTCACATTTATTGCTGATCTGGTGGACTACTGAAAACTATTTCATGGTGGTCAGATTTAAATTTTAGTGGTCTCAGACCAACAGACCACCATTGATTTTGAGCCCTGATAAATATAAATGCAAAATCTTTACATTAAAAAAAAGGTATGTTATTCTTCAAAAGAGGCTAACAAGACAATATATATATATATATATATGTTACCAGCAAAGTATGAAATGCCGGCATTGTATATAATGCCGGATGTTTTTTGACAAGGTATGGAATATGCAAAGTATTACTTACTTTCTCTAGGCATCTATGTAATACCTAGGCATTCTATGGAATGACAAATGGGCAAAGTATGAAAAAAACATCCTGATGAGGTTATTATGTAAATGATGTGCATTTCTCCAAAATAAAAATACTATTCTTAAAAAATAATGAGAATGCCATTAAAAAAAATTCTTCAAATTGCGTAACGAAAAATAAAAGTTGTTCAAAATGAAACAAAATTTTTATATAAAAAATAAGAATTTATCCTACTTGTTGCAACATGGCAGGCTTGAATAACATTTTGAATAACATTTAGACAAATCGGAGATCCATTTTGTACTTTGCTGGTAACACACTCACATATATATATATATACAGTAGGGAACCGATTATCCGGAACGATCGGGACCATCGCTATTCTGGATAACTGATTTTTCCGGTTTTCTGAATCGCTGCAAAAAGCCTTTTTTTTTATCGTCAAACCGAACTAAAAAAAAATATTAGGAAATAATCTTAAAAAGAAGAAAAAACGATGAAGTAATACAGTAGTGATTATTTCTAAAATGATGGTATGGTAAACATCTTTCAAAAAAGAAAGAAAAATCCTAAAATCTTATGAGGAAAA